AAGCTTCAGAGAAATGGCAGGGCCGAGCCAGGCTAATTACTGGGAGACACGTCCTAAATCAAACAAAGAGGCTCCAAGTGGCTTTGCTGGGCTGACTCCTCTCCAGGGAGGTTTGTGCTGCTCTGCCTTGTCCCATGGACCTGCTCACTGCTGTGTCCTCGGCTTTCTGCCCCAGCCACTGGGAAAATCTTGGGCAGGGACACCCTGCTGATCCTCCTCGGGTCCTCTGCCTGCTCTTGGCTGAGCATTTACTGTCTCACTCTGTCACCTACGTAACATGGCATTAACGTCACTGAGCCAGAGCACTTGGCGCACTCAGTTTCTTCCCAGTGCTGCAGTTGCTGTTGGAAGGGAACAAGAGTGCCCAAACCTCTCCCATAAAGCCAAAACTGGGGAGACAGAAAGCTCTGGAACTGTCTTTATCAACATCCCACCGGGCTGGACCTGGGATGCAGTTTCTCCAGGCAGATTTATTTCAGTTGTCCTGCTTTCTTTAGGGCTTATGAGTTCCCCCAGGATACTTTCCTCCTGTGTCCAACCTAGAGATCAACTGGCTTTTATTTGGTTTGGAAAAGAAAAGTAAAAGAAAATAAACTGGACGCAGGTGGTGCAGAACAGCCATACAGCAGTTTAATTAATTGCCTTTAAATGTTAATTCAGAATAGTTTCCCTGAGTGATCTTATATAGGCAAATCCTGAGTTGCCTTAAGCCACTGGCAGAGCATGTTCAACTAATAAGGTATTCTTAGTGCTGACCAGGAGCCTTGCACAGGACAGTAATCAGGAACGATTAATTGGAAATAGCTCTTCTAAACCAGGCTGTACCTGCTGTGCTCTCCCGGCCTGCCCAGCTCTGCCCGGACCTGACGTGGAGCCACCAGGATCAGCGGGGAAGGGACTTCACCTGTGATGTGCCACTTCCTCAGCCACAAACCACCCTCCCATCCCTCCTCCCAGTGCTCCCCAGCTCAATCTGGCATGCAGGGTTTCCAGCACAGCCTCTGGATTTGCCAACTGACTTCCCTCGGGAAGAACGGAATGTGGGAAATTACTAGCTAAGCTCAGCCATAGCCCTGGCAGACTTGGAGAGCTATTGCATCACGTATCCCACCCCTCAGCAAAACAGCAAAAACCCCTGCCTCCCGCCTGGGTTTCATGCCTCCAAAACCTCTGAGAGACCAGCAGCCCCACTAAGAGAGTTACTTTGTGAAGCTTTGCCTAAATCACAGTGAAATACAATGTCATAAAATCACAGAATGGTTTGGGTTGGAAGATCATCTCGTTCCAACCACTTGCCATGAGCAGGGACAGCTTCCACTAGATCAGGTTGCTCCAATCCCCATCCAACCTGGTCTTGAACACTTCCAGGGATGGGAAATCCCAGAGAACCCATTTCTGATCAGGCATGACCTCATGTGACAGTAGCTTCTGTCCTTGAGTCCCCTGTTCTCTTCCTTTAGGTGAAATCATCCCACAGTGTCTGTGTGCCTCCTACATGCCAGGTTTGACCTCAGGCCAGTGAAATTTTCAGAGGTCTCTTCTTGCTTTCAGCACGTCCTCGACTATTTCCCTTCTTCATTCCCCCCCTGCAGCAGCAGCCTTTGAGCAGTAATTCAGCAGGGAATACCTGCTGCTGCCAGAGGTGGCTGGGAGGGAGCACAGAGGATGAAATCCATGTTAATAGGCTCTGCTGGAGTGGCTGAGCCTGCTGTGGAAGAGTTTTACTCTCCCAAAGTCAAGGCTTGGGGAACTTGCTCCTCAAATGACGCTTTAAATAATACCCAGTAATGCCACAGAGGAGACAGTTCCCTGCTGGAAATCGCATTTCACTTGGTGTCAGCAGTTCAGAAGAAACCCATCTGCAGGAAATTAGGATGACAATTTCCTCTGTGAGTGAGGAGGAATTACAGCTGTAATCCAGCAGGCAGACAACAGCCTCCTCTCCTCTCTCTCATACCAGTTACTCTTGAAACTTGAAGCCATGTGTCCATATAGAGATGTCTCTACCCCACCCAGGAAGGGCAGAGAGGAAGAAATGATATGGTGCAGGGAGAGAATAGCTCAGTATTTGAGGACCAAACAAGTGTGTATTTTGAAAGAAACCTTTTCTGTAAGAAACAGGCTGAGAAAACTCAGTTGCAAAAAGCTGCAGGACCACAGCTCTCAGTGTGTTCACAACGGGTTTTTGGGGCCAAAACTGATCTTGAAGGCTGGTATGGTTCATGAACATGTGAAGATAACATTCATCAGAGGAAAGAAATAAAAACCTGGGTAGCAAATGTGCTCATGGGACACCTTTTGCAAGCCAGGTCTTGGTAAGGTCACACCAGGAGGCCAAGGGGTCACTCCAGGTCCACAGGATGACATTAATATGGTCAGATGGCAATAGAACAAAGTGGAATGGTTTTAAACTAAAAGAGGAGAGATTTTGATTAGATGTTAGGAAGAAATTTTTTACTCAGAGGGTGGGGAGACCCTGGCACAGGTTGCTCAGAGGAGCTGTAGCTGCTGCATCCCTGGAAGTGTCCAAGGCCAGGTTGGACAGGGCTTGGGATAGTGGAAGTTGCCCCTGCCCATGGCAGGGGGTAGAACAAGATGATCTTTAAGGCCCCTCCCAACCCAAACCATTTTATAATTCTATGATTCTATGACTCCAGCAGAGATGGACCCAGCCTGTGTCCGAATTCACAACCTTTTCTGTGAGGTTTTGTCATCAATCTCCTGGCTGAGAAGATCTTTCCCCATCACCAGCTGCCTTAGCAGTTGTCAGCATCTTCCTGCTTCTCCCAGCACTGCTGCTGGAGCTGACAGGAGTTTGATTATGATTTAATCCAGGCTTTTAGAGGAGGGAAAAAAGAAAGTTTTGACAGTTCCATATTTAGCCCTCTGACTCACCGATTTCATGTGTCAAACACTAAAGACGGGTTAAGTAGAATTAAGTTCTGGATTTATTATAAATAGGCATTAAGTAACATGAATGTACTACATTTGCATGAAAATGTGGGCCTGATTCTCTAATTTACCCCAGAGATTTTGTTTGACGTCGATGGGACACTCCCAGGGGGGAGCTCAGATCAGAGCCAGCCCAGCTCTGACCATCCCCTGCTGCCACCAGGAACTGGACCCGGTGAAATAGGGAAATCTCTGCTGAAATCAGGAAGGATTTACACTGCTTGCACAGATCAGAATTCAACCCTTAAAATAGTACAGGTAGTTTCAATCAGCCCCCAGATCTGCGGCTGAAAGAATAATTTCTCCATGTCAATCAGTGCTAAATGTACCTGTTAAATCAGGGAAGATGGGTTAAGGTGAAAATTGCACAGAAAGTCACTTTTCTTCTGTTTCTCCCAGAAGTTGGAGATTTGTTGGATTCAGATCTTATGGACAATCTCATACTGCTCCAATTACCTTCTGCTTAAAGGTCCATTCAGACAATGAAGTCACCCTCACTCAGAGCAAGCCTGACAGTTGGGCATTGTTTGGGTGAAAACAGTCCCCTTTAGTGAAATCAATGCTTCTGCAATGAGGGTGACAGACACAGACTCTGCCAAATCAGAGCCCTCCTGAATAGCTTAATTTACTGACTTGTTCTTGTTAAACAGTTGAGAATTGGTCCATGGAGAAGAACACAAAAAAGGACAGACAATGTGGGCTGTATTTTGAGGCTGGACCAGTCCAAGCCAAGGAAAAACAGGATTTCAAGCCACCCAGTGGTATTGTTTCTGGAATAATGATGTTCACCCGTGCACCTCTACCTTTATTCCGAACTGGAGGCTTGGCCCTGTTTCTGCTGAGGGTGAGGAAAAGGGGTGTGCAGCATAACAAGGGCCACTGGGATTGAGGGACAACCTCAGCCCTGGAGAGCTTGCTCTTATTATCCCCTGGAGCTGTTGATCATGCAGGAAGATGCAGGAGCTTCTCCTGGCCCCAGCAGGACCCTCAGGCTCCGGTGCCTTCCCAGCATCATTCTGCCCTCGGCTGTGATTTTTCTTATCAAACACCACATTCTGCTCCCTGCCATGAAAATAATTTCCAATTAAATGCCTTCTCAGAGCCTATCTGACTGGGAATTAGCCTGGTACTTGGTGACTGGATTGTTAGCTCATCAAAGTCTCTGGGATAAGGGGACGTGCTGCCTTGGGAGCGACGTGTTGGCCGAGGATTTTGCTCATGGCTTTGAACTCACTGCAGCCCTGCAAACTGGGACACGGGTGCCCTTTGCTCACCTTTAGTACTTCTCTGTTCCCCTTTACCCCACAGCTGAGTAAGCAACTCCAGGGCTACAAAACACAGATTCCTGTACTCCAGCCCTCCAGGGATCCCAGCGTTTGAGTCCCTGGGAAGGAGCTGGCCATGTGCTCCAGCTTACAGGGAACGGATTATCATGGCCCTTGTGACTCAGTACATGGATCCCATGTGCTTCCCTGCATGGAAGGGAGAGAAGCAGGCATGAAGCCTCAATTTGGCCCCTAATCAGCTGCCTAACTGGTCTCAGTCTCCAGGGACCTTCCCCAGGCTGGCAGTGCCAACCACTGCTCTCTCCTGACAGTGGGCACCTTGAGGGGGTCTGGATGCTGAGGAGGACAACAGTGGTGTGTGGTGATTGTTGCCTCTTCGTGAGCAGAACAGATAAAATCCAAGAAGCTCAGAAAGCTGGATGTAGAGCTGGGAAGGATGGGGAGGGAAGAGCAGCTGTGATCCCAAAGTGCTGCTGGGGATGGTGAACCCCTGGATGCTCCTGTTGGAGCAAAAGGCTTCAAAGTTCCAGGTTATGGGTCAGTTCGAACACTGGAAAGAGGAGAACGGGTAAAAAGACAGTTTCTTCTTGCTGTGGACATAAAGTCAGAGAGATATCAGAGCATGTGGTTCAGGGCTGGTTTTGGGTCATGGAAACTCCTTTGGTCCACGTAGTGTGGGGTCCCAGCAACTCCTTGCTCCATCCTTCTTAGTGATCCTTGGAGCACCATCCACACTCCATTGTGATGATGCCGCTATGGCAACCAGGCCAGTGATTGTTCCACAGGGCATGGGGCAGTGCAGGGCACAGGATGGGCCTGGGACCTGTTCCCTTCTAGGTTCTCACCTCTCCTAAGCTTCCTACTGGAAATAGAAGTTGATCTTTGGGAATACACAACTCCACTATGGTTCTGTCTCCTGGCTGGAGAGGAGCTGCAGTACCCTGGGGGGGCTGAGCAGTGTTGTGAGGTTCAAGGGGACCCAGAGGGCTGCAGTGTGGCTGCTGGGGACCAGCTTTGGGATAAGGGATGTGGGGTCCACTCTAGAGCCCTTCCTGGCAGCAGCGGGATGGGGGGGTGAATCCAGGTGTTCTTCAGGAATTCTGCCCGCTGGCACAGGGTGGGGGGGGACTGACCTCGCTGGAATTTCTATGGAAACCCAGGTACTGAACGGGGTGGAATAGCTCAAACCATCTGTTCCTCCCCTACTTGTAAACTCGATCATTTCATGATGACATCACTAAAAATGCTCTCCTTTTATTCCTCTCGCAGCCATCTGTGATGGTTTCCTCCTGTGCCAAACACGCGAGCGGGTGCTGAGGGATGGGCAGGAGGACACAACCACCCCATTACTCCTGTTTCATTTTTTCCCTTGGAAAGCGATCCTGTCCCTGCAGAGTCTCCCTTGTTCCCTTCCCGAGGCGTCTACAGAGTAACCGGCAGAGCTAGACAGGAAAAATGAAGAGCTCAAAGGTGAAAATGAAGCACAAACTAAAGCTGAACTTTGCAGGGACTGCAGAAGATCTACCATAGGGATCATACCTGTTGGAATACAGGTCCAGCAGTAGGGAGCCAGCCTTGCTTCTGCCAGCAAGGTGCTGGGTTGCAGTGGGGCTGTTTCTGCCTGCCCTCCTGTACCAGGGGTGAGGCCATGGCATGATATTTGGGTGTTGTGAGAGGCAGATTTAGGCAATATGGGTCAGCTGAGGACACAAGTGGTGGTGAATCTAACTGCCACAGCTTCAGTGCTCACTGTTGGGCAGGTTCTCAGTAGAAGTCACCTTTCCCTATGCAGAGATGGGAGCACTCCTGCTCCACTCATGGTCAAGGTCATCTGGCTTCCCCCAAGTCCACAGCACAAGTGGGTTCGGTTCTGACTCACGTGGTCCTTGCAGTCTGATAAAAGAGGTGACAGCCTGCAATCCCCTGCCCTGCCCGGTGGTGATGGTCTGTTCTCTGCCCAGGAACTGAGGTTTCAGGTGGTGATGAGTATCTCAGGTGTCAGAGAAGAGCTGGGGCTTGTGATACCATTCACCCACTCCCCCATGTCCGGCTCTGCCAGCTGCCAGTGCTGCTTGTGTTTGCTCAAGTGACCAAACCCTCCCTCTCTGTGACAGCAGAGGAAACCCTCCAAGAGCCAGGACCTTTCGGAACTCTCTGAGCATGAGAAGGAGAGAAAGGCTAAAATGGAGATCAGGCACCTGCAGACACAGTATCATCATGCAGCGTGCAAGAGGAAATTTTATGATGCCGAAATCTGGAGGCAAATCCAGGCTCAGCAGTGAGTACAGATCCATAGGCCACACTGTGCTTGGGAAGCAACTCCATGAGCTGCAGAATCACACAAGGGTTTGGGTTGGAAGGGACCTTAAGGCTCGTCCAGTTCCACCCTGTGCCATGGGCAGGGACATTTTGCACTAGACCAGGTTGCTCCAAACCCCACCCAAGCTGGCCTTGGACACTTCCAGGGATGAGGCAGCCACAGCTTCTCTGGGCAAACTGTGCCATCCTCATTCTTAGAACTTCCTCCTAAATCTAATCTAAATTTCTCCTCTTTCAGTTAAAACCCATTCATTCTTGTCTTATCACTATCTGACTGTGTAAAAAGTTGTTCTCTCTTTTTTATAAAGAGATGGTGGGGACCAGAGTGGTGAGATGGGGAGGGGTAAGGACCTGCCCTGGCCTTGCAGATGGGATGTGCTAAATGTTATTTGTCATTCCATTTTTACAGAAAAGCAATAGATGATCTGAAACAAGAACACAGACATGTGTCACTAATGCTGAGCCAGATCTATTCACCAAATAATGTGATGATAGAAAACCGAAATCGTGTAAAGGTTGAAACCCTTTTTCAGATCAGAAATCAGAATGATGCCCTGATCAAAGAGAGAAAAGCCCAGATAGCTGACCTGGGCAAGCAGGTAAGGGCATTTGGACCATTCCCTGGCTGAAACTCCTCAATGTAAAACATTTAATTCAGGCCTTGGAATATTCCTCCTGGCAAATGACACATGACAATGACAAGTGGGTAGAGCCAGGCTCCCATTCAAGTCAGCAGCACTGACTGGAAAAGTAAGGTCAGACTCTAAAACTGGTTGTCTCACCAGTGCTTGCAGCCCCTCTGGGATGGCAGATCCCTGCCTGGAGTCACACAACTTCCCTCTGCTTCTCCCTTCACTTTTTTTATTGTCCTGAAAAAGGCAAAAATGGAATGTTTGCGCTGCCTGAGATGTGACAAATAGAGGAGCAGCAGCACCTAAGGGATGTCCCATTCCTTCTCCTGAGGACATCCGGGTTGGATTTGGGCAGCAGTGGGGTGGGAGGCCAAGGGAAACGTGGGGCTATGGAAGTGACAGGTCCCTTCAGCCTTCTGCTTTGAGCCAGCTGCCCATGATGGAAGACAGGGAACATGCTTGGATAGTTTGCAGTTGCTGCAGGTGCTGCAGAGCTTTCCCAACAGCGTCAGCTTTGTCAGGGATCTCTTGGCTCAGTCATATCTCCCTGACCTGCCCCCTGCTTTGCTGTTCCCCAACTACTTCATTCTTCCCGTGGATTTATTTGCTCTGATAGCTTCCCACTTCTGGCAAAATTTTCCTCTGCTGATTTCTAGGGAGAACCCCATGGATCCCTGCCTGGACAGCACAATACCCCAACCAAAACCCATCCTCCTTGCCTCTCCCACCCCACAGAGTGCTGCTGTGCTGTGCTCAACACCTGCTGGAGTTCCCTCCAGAGGCAGCTGCGTTTCCTTCATGACACGAAAATAAACCCATTCCCACTTACAGTTTTTGTTTCTGGATATGCAGGATGGGATCCTTTGGGATTAAAGCTGCTTCTATAACTATGAGCTCATTAATGACATGATTGCTGCAGTTCAGGTCAACAGAGGGTATTTTCTTTGGCTGTGTGTCCTGACAAGAGTCCAGAAGGCAGGGGTGGAGATTATACTGCCTTTTTTTTTTCCCCCCTCTGTGTATGTGCAGGTGCTAGAGCTGGAAAGAGAGATTACAAAGCAAAGAGAGATTACAGCGAAGGCACTGGAAGCAAGGAATCACAAACGGCTGCAGGAGAAGGTCGATGGACTGGAATTCCGCCTAAACCAAGTAAGCAAACATTTTGGAGACCTTTGTGGGGTCACAGAGGGGCCTGGGACCTTCTTGGTCAGGACAAAGCACAACGGTGCAAATTTCTGTGGTTGACATAAGCTGCAGAAAGCACCTGTCTGATTCCCCTGGCCTGACTGCTCCCAGAATATCTCAAAGGCTCCTTCAAGCTTGGTGACCCAAAAGCAGGGCTTGTGCTGTGCCAAGAGTCCTGAAGGTCTGCACCTGTTTAGCGATCAAACCAAGCTGCCTGCAGCCACCTTACCTTGGACAACACCAGCTCCAGGTCTCTGCTGTGATTGCCCTGGTCTTCTGTTGCCTTTCCTCTCTTGGGGAGGAGGGCAGTGCAGGGCCAACTTCAAATCTCTTGGACTGTGTTTGTCCCTGCCCTAGTCAAGGTCTTCAAGAAGACACCTGAGCCCCTCAATCTCCCACCGGTTCCAAATCTTTTGCTCCGCTCTCCCCAGGCCACTGTGCGTTACAACACCATCCTGACCCGGAATAACGAGCTCCGGGAGGAGACCCGAAGCCTGAAAATCCAGAAAGCCGTTTTTGACAACTACTACTGGAAGTATGACAGGCAGCTGACTCAGCAGAATAGACTGTTGAACTCTGCTGTTGAACTCGCCACAGAAGACTACGAGCAGTGGTACGTGACCCTGCCAGCCCTGAGAGGAAAACTTGGTGCTGACAGGCAATACCAGCGATGAGTATTGATATTAAGAGACCAACTGCTCTCATCCAGAGCTGGGTGCTGGTCAGTGCAGGGAGATAAGTACCTCGAGGGTGTTTTATTCCACCGATCCCAGATGTTTCTCAGGATGGGATGAATTGCCCCATGGAGGAGTCTCTTCCTTCTGAGTCCCACCTGAGTTGGGCACGATGCTCGAGTGCCAAACCCCACCAAGAGCTGTGTTTGTTTGCTGCTGGCCTTGGACTAACACCACTACATCCAGATGAGAGCCAGGAACAGGCACAGCATCACGGGGCCTTTGCTAGATCAGGCACAGGGATCCATGGGTATGGCCAGGAACACAAAGCACGGAGTGACTGCTGCTCTCTGTGTGCAGGATGGAGTATCTCTCGAAGATCTCGGACATTAGGGAAGCACGCATCAGAGACACCATCCAGTTCAACATCAAGATGCTGGACCTGAAGTGTGCCCTTCAGCAGGAGATCAGACTGAAAAATTTCTTTGTCACCAAATGTACAGATCTCTCTGAATTGAAGGAAAAGGCCAAACAGAGAGAAGGTATCAGAGGAGGGAGGATGTGTGTAACTGGGACCACAAACCCAAAGTCCACAGAGTTGGTGGGGGACTGGTTATGGTGGTTTATGGCACCTCTGCCCTGCCTGCAGGCTCCCTAACCCAACCTTCACCCTAAAAGGGAAAAGGCTAAACAGTGATAACTGAGTGAGACCACTCAGCACTGAGTGCCTTGGGGTGCCCTTGGGAACCTGCTCCTCTTACAGCCATGGCTGCCTTTGTCATGTTTGGGGTTGGTTTGGGTTACAAAGGACCTTAAAGCCCATCTCATTCCACCCCCTGCCATGGTCAGGGACATCTTCCACCAGCCTAGGTTGCTCCAAGCCCCGTCCAACCTGTCTTGAACACTTCCAGGAAAGAGGCATCCACAGCTTCTCTGGGCAACCTGTACCAGGGCCTCCCCACTCTCACAGGGAAAAATTTCTTCCTAACATCTAATCTAATCTAAAATAATCTAATCTAATGTACTTATTTTATCCTCCTGGTAAGGCATCCCACTGTGTTTGCTCCATTCCCTTGAGAACATTGAGCTCCCTGCTTAGTTTCTCTGTAAAATAAAGGCACTCTCTACCCCTCTGGGGAGCACCACACCAAACCCCACAGCACTGCAGGAGGGACAACCGGGGCTCTCTGTCTCTCTCAGCTTTGAAGGCAGCTGAGTGGGCGAAGCAGAGCCAGGCAGAGAGTTATGAGGTGGCTTACAAGCGCTTGCTGGAGCTGTCGGACGGAGAGATCGACCAGCTCTTGGATGAGTTCGTGGAAAAGAACAGGAGATTCTTCATCCTCTTTGCCTATGCCATTAGGCTGAACGTCAGGAATGAGGGCATGAGACAGAGGATCAAGGCCATCCAGGTCTGTTCCAGGCTCTTCATGTCTCCCCTTTCCATGCAGTGCTTTTGGCCTGGGGTGGGTTTGTCCTCTCCCGAGTGTCCAGCATCACTGCCCACACCAGAGCCTGGCTCACAGGCACACGGGTGGGATTTGGGGGATGCGAAGGAGTAGCCAAAAATGCAATTCCCAACGCTGTGTTGTCAGAACTAAACGTGTCTCAATGCTGCCACCGTGTACCCAGGAAAAATACTGCAGTATCCAGGACAGCCAAGGGCTTCCTTGGAGTGTGTGGCGCTGGCTGGAATGAAAAGTGGGGTCATCCATCCCCTGCCCTCCTGGCCTGGGGACAGCGGTCCCCAGAGGAGTCCAGAGGGATGTCCCTGATCCCAGGGCAGAGGCGTGTCCCCAGCCTCTGTTTGACATGTCTGGTGGGCATTCCATCAGCACCCCTTCCATGTGCTTGTGTTTACACAGGATGATATGACAGCCATCATGATGGAGCGGGAAGAGGAGGAGACAACCCGGTTTCATGTCATGCAGGAGCTGGAGGTATGGCAGCCATGAATTCCCTCTGGAAGGGCTGCAGATCCCTGTCTGTCCCGGCATTTGTCCCAGGGAGTCTGGTCCTGTCAGCGCTGCTCTGGCGAGTGGCTGGAGAGGTGTGGGCAGAAAAGGGCCCTGAAAAGGTTTTGGCAGCTCCCAGTGCATGGTGAGAGGGTGACAGTGGGGCTCCTGCCAGCCCTGGTCTGGCATGGGGAGTTTGGAATCCCCTTCACAGACCTTCTTCCCCGCAGGGATGGGAGCATCCCACAGCCTCTCCTGGGATGTCTTCTTTAGTTTGTATTTAAAGAGTACTGTGTAGGTGGCCAAGCACTGGATCAGACTGTCCACAGAGTGTGTGGAGTCTCCCTCACTGGATATATTCCAGAACCACCTGGATGCAATCCTGTGTGATGTGCTCCAGGATGAGCAGGAAGGTTGGACCAGATGACCCACTGTGGTCCCTTCCAACCTGACCCATTCTGTGATTCTGTGACTCTGTCTCCAATGTTCAGATTGAAACTGGGCAGCACTGGGGTGGTGGAATCAGCAAGGAGCTGGTGTGACACCTGCCAAAACCTTTGTTGATAGGCAAAATTAACAGAAACCATTGAGGAGGCCAACAAGTATGAAGCCAAATGCAAAGAGAGCAGCAAACTCCTGGGACAGCTTCAATCCCGCATAGAGTCCCTCCTGAAAGACATTGACTGTGACACCACAAAGATAGTGAAGCCGCTCGGGAGCAGCTTGCTGCCACTTTTTGGTAGGCCTGCCTTCCCACACCACACGGCCTGAGCTGTGTGTGTCCACCACCCTCTGTGTTCTAATTGAGCTGGTTTTTTCCCTCTGCCCCATCAAGGCAGGGTGTCCCCAGGGTGAATTTGCAGCACCAAATTCCCAGCAAATTCGGGAGCCAACTCAGCTGTATAAACACCCCAGTGGACCCCCAAAACCCTCATCTTGTCTCTGGGCATTGTAGAGAGGTGGGGGTCAGCCTCTTCTCCCAGGCAGTTGGCAACAGGACAAGGGGAATTGCATGAAGGGAGGTTCAGGCTGGATATTAGGAAAAATTTCTTCACTGACAGAGTGGTCAAGTGTTGAAACAGACTCCCCAGGGAACCATCCTCAAAGTGTTCCAAAAACAAGTGAATGTGGCACTTTGTGATATGGTTTAGTAGGCATGGGGGTATTCAGTTGAAGGTTAGACTTGATGATCTTGGAGGTCTTTTCCAACCTTAGTGATTCTGTGATTCTATGATTCCATGACCTAGCCTTGGTCCCTTGCCCCCGGGGAGTCAGGCTGCCCACTGACGCTGCCTCGGGGAAGCCAATGGAACCCCTGCTCTGCAAAGGCCAGGGGTGGGTTTGGGCAGGGTCCTGGTGCAGGATCTCGGTGCAGGGACCCTGTGGGGTGCTGCTCCTTCCCACCCAGGTCCTGTGGAGGAGAAGGTCAATGAGTTCCTGGTGCTGGAGTCCCTCCTGCGCTACACGTCAGTCGACCGCGCGCACCGGTCGCAGTCCTTCATCAGCCCCATGAGCGGAAATTCAGGGCTCCTCTGGGTGCTGGATCGGAACAAGCTCTGCCCACCGCCCCCCGACCCGGACAGCACCGACCCCGGCACTGGTGAGCACGAGAGGAGGGAGGGAAGGGCCATGGCCAGGCAGCAGCCGTTCCCCAATTCCCCCGTGGCCAACCCCTGCATCCTCACACACACATCCACGCACATCCTCCCCAGTCAATCCAACCATCCTGTCCTGCCCCACTGGGTATATAAAGCTCGTGATACCATGGGGTGGCCATTCTCTTGGGCAGTGGAAGAGCCGCTGGACAAGGACCAGCTGCGTCAGATGGTTATCAAGAGGCACGAGGAGGAGGCGGCCAAGCCCCCCAGCACAGGCAGGAAGAGGAGGAGATCCCCATCAAAGAGCCCAGCACGGGCGAAGTAAAGAAGCAGTTTCATTCCTGAATTTCTGTGTCCTGGACATCATTCCATATTCCCTCTCTGGAAGGAGCCCAACACCTTCCGCAGCCTGCAAAAGCTCACGAGGTGGTATTTTGGCCAGGCCTCACCAACTGCTGACAGACCCACAGCCATGGTCAGGATCAGCTGCTCTATGTTGGGGTGACATCCCTGTCACACAGCCCAGTGTGCTTCCTAAAGCCAGATTTGGGGACCACAGTCCTGCTCCTGCACTGTGCCTGCCTGAGGGGCCTGGGATGCAGGGGGGTGACTGTGCTTGCAGGGTGTTCCCTGCCAAGCTGGTAACTCTCTGCTGCCTAAAGTAAATCTGAGCTAGTGCTGGTCCTGGGCTGACGGGACCAGATGGGATGGCCAGAGTCCAGTGTGGAATGGGCTGTGGGGTGGGAGCAGGGAGACAGCAAGGCAGAGGGATTCGAGGGCACACAAGGGTGATGTGCAGGAGGGCTGGAAGTCTGGGGGCAGTGGGGTCTGGGAGGGGTCCTGTGGGGCACAGACGCACCGTGGAGACACACCACACATGCCCAAGCACTGCTCATACCAGCGGGTGCATCCTCTTGCCAAAAGGCAGTTTAATGTGGATGCCATTCCTGTGCCAAATTCCCAGGCACATGCCTCTCCAGGGGAAGAGGAAAGGGAAACCCCGTGTGATCTGGGGAGAGGTGATCTCCCAGTGGCAGCCCCAGCCCTGAGCGTGGGCTAGTCCTTCTCTTCGCCGTGCGTGATGACATGGACCAGGTTCTTGTAATCCAGGTTGCCTGACATGTCTGGAGGGAAGGCTGCAAACATCTGGTCGATCTGCCAGGGAAGAGCCAGGTTGAAAATGTGGCAGAGAAGGGGTTTGGGACCAGGGCTGGGAGAAGGGATGGGTTCTGTTGGGATGAATGGCACAGGAGGCTGGTAGAGGGTGGGAAGCAGCTCATACCTCTTCCTGGGAAAACCTCTCGCCCTGCGTCATCAGCATTTCTTTGATGCTGCAAACAAGAGAGTGTGGTAAGCACTGGGGAGGTCTTGGTGGGGACACCCCCTCCTAACCCCCTGCCCCAGATACCCTTGCACTCACTAGGCAGATTTCAGGCCTTTCCCCTCTGGATCAAACACCTTGAATGCGTTCAGGATCGTCTCCTCCGGGTCAGCACCTGTGGGTGACACAGCCATGGCCATTGGAGGTGGCAGAGCAGGAATCCTCCTGCTTCCCCCAGCCTTCATAGGGGGAAGCAGGGTCTCTGCAGGAATGCTGACCCTGCAACTGGACACTTGAGTGCGGGTGGTGGCACGTAAAGGAGCGGACGCAGGGTGGTGGTGTGAGCACAAAGCAGGCTGTGTTGCCACCGCTCCGGCATCCGGCATTTATCTAATCTTTGGAGTGTATTTATAGAGCTCCAGGCTCAGCCCTTGGGGCCCTGTAGCCTCCTGGAGATCTGCAGGAGGCTGCATTCCTTGGGTAAAGTACATGATACAGGGTGCAGCTGGATGGGACAGTGGGTCAGAGTGTGGCTGGTAGCCAGGGTGGCCATTGGTGCCACTGCTGGTGTCAGAACGCTCAGAGGTACTGCAAGAACTCCTGTCCCCCCCTTCCTGTGAGGACAGCAGCATCACAGCTGTTTGGGTTTTGTAAATGGCTGGGGAAACTGAGGCACGGAGACCATCTCATATTCCCCCAACAGGTATGAGATGGAGTGAGATCCGGACCCTTCAAAGATTCTTTGACAGGTCTCACCTGGAAGGGTTTGGAGTCCCAGGAGCTGGGTGGCTTGGCCAGGTGGGACAGGATGTTGGTGACGGTGTGGGTACCCACCAACCACCCCCCAGCTCCCTGGGTGCCCACTGACCACCCCTCCAGCTCCCCAAACTCACCCTTGAGTTTCTCCCCAAACATGGTGAGGAACACGGTGAAGTTGATCGGACCAGGGGCCTCCTTTATCATCTCATCGATCTCCTCATTTTTCACATTCAGGCGCCCTGGGGAGAGCCGTGTTGGAACAATTCCATATCCATGTTTGGCTGCTCTGCTCTATGTGCTGGGGGCTAAAACACACCGTGGGATCCTTCCTGTGGGGGATTTCCCCCCACCCCAGGGAAGCAGCACATCCCTGGGGAGCCACCTCTGACAAGGAACAGCAGTAGTAGGAGTGAGGTGGGGGAACCATGTCCAGCTCTGGTTCCTCGGGCTCCAGGATCACAGAAAAGAGTGATGCTGTGCTGCTTCCTTCCCTCACTGCTCCACAGATCAGCCTGCTTCAGCCCTCCTCAGGAGGTGTTTTGGGTCAAAACCACCACCATTGGGGTTTCCTCTGGTCTCCAGTGCCAGAGGGTAATGGGACTGAATGCCTCCATCCTTTTTCCTGGGGCTGGGTTGTCCCTGGGACTCCCTAGCCCCATTGCTGATTCATGGTGACCTCCCTGATGGGAGAGCCAAGCTCACAACGTCACAGTCTCTCCCAGATCCCGTAAATCCCCTTAATGCCTGCACACCCCGGGATGCCGTGGGATGGGCACAGCCAGGTGCTTCTAAGCATGGGAAAAGGCATTTGGCTCAGTGTAATCCAGGAGCTGGCTCTAGTACTGATGGGATAAACCAGCGCTGCTGTGGGAGCTGCTCTGGGTTCACCCGTGTGGAATCTCACGGGCTAACAGGCCTGGGTATGGATCAGGAGGGTTTTGGCAAAATGGGAGATCCAGTTAATGATGGGGGCTTGGTTACTGGGGGGGTCTCCCCTCGTTTATCACTTAATAGGTATAATGCTGGCAAAGCTGTTGGGGAGGGGAGGGTGCTGAACAGGGGCTCACCGAGGGCAGCAAATGTGTCTCTCAGATCCGCCTTGTCGATGAAGCCATCCCGGTTCTGATCCATGATGGTGAATGCCTGGAAGCACAGGAGGAGGGAGCACAGGGAGAGGGAGAATTGTTGGCCTTTGCAAAGGCTTTAGTGCTCTCCTCCTCCTCCCTTCAACTTGGATGGGACAAGGGCCCTTTGAGCCCTCCCAGGGTGGGGCTCTGGGAGTCCTCACCCAGTGAGGGAGCAACAACCCACCCTAATCCCTAATCCAGCAGCAATCCTGGTCCTTGCAGCCTCAGGCGGTGGCAGACCAATGACAGAAGCCAGCCTGAATCATCAGCTCCCCAGCTGGGTCCGGTTATCCCTGGAACTGAAATCTACACAGGACCAAGTGCCTGCTGTGCAGAGGGTAAGAGCTCCTGGCACTGCAGGTGGGAGTTAGCTGGGAGATGTGCTCTGGCTCTCTGGGATGCTGCCGGCTGCTCTGTGGGGTGCAGGTTCCTTGGAAGCTCGGAGGCAATGCCATATTTAACAACGTCACTGAGCTGTTATTCTCACTTTTAAAATAAAGCGACCCAAAAACTGGGTGTGCTGCCTCTTGCTGAGAACCAGCTGTCCCTGATCTGAGAGCACCAAGGAAAGAGCTGAAGGTCATATCACATCAAGGACCCTCAGCCCTTCCCACCAAACCCACCTACCTCTTTGAATTCCTGGATCTGGGCCTGCTCGAACATGGAGAAGACATTGGAATTAGCACCTTCAATCCTCTTCTTGGCTTTCTTGGGTGCCTGCAGGGGTTCAAGGATGTATCATTAACTCACTGGCTTTTTTTGGGGTGGAATAAAAGCATGAAATTGCCCTTAGTCGTGACTCCTTTGTGGTAGCTCTGGGCTGGGACTCTCTTCCCTGGGGGCTTGCTGCTTTCCCCCTGCAGCTCTGGGATATGGAGGGGCATTAAGATTCTTGCTTAAATTACAGCTCCTGGTGAATTTAGCCAAATATGTTCAAGGAAAGATGAGGCGGGAAATCACTTCTCCCAGTCACAGGTGAAAGGCTTGGCACCAGGGCGAGATATCCCTTTTGGAACCCCAGCTTTGGGAGTGGTGCTGAGGCTGCACAAGGGCTGTAGTCATTAGGTGCTTCCTCACCCTGCTGTGCACTTATTAAAGTATTTGCTTAATAAAAAATTCTGCCTTCTCCTGCACTGAGGCTTGAAACAACCAGAAATGGCTCAGCGTGTGTTGTAAAGAAGGGTGAAGGACAGAGCCCCTCACTGTCCCACCCTGCCCATCATCCCTCATTCCAGTGTCTGCTCCAGCAGCCGTTCCCTCTTACTGGAGGGGTCTGCCAAGAGGAGGGAGAGCAGGAGGGCTTTGGGGGACACAACCGCTGCATGGAGGAAGGGAAAGGAGCAAAATGGCATTTGGACCCCCAAAAGGTCTGCCCCAGTTAGAAAACTCTGCTAGCACGGGATACACCTCCCTGTTCCCTATGGGGTGCTGCTGATCCAGCCAGATGCTTCTCAGTTTGCTCACCCCCTTTCCAGGACAGGAGGGACCCTTGACCCTCAGATCCCTGTTGCCTCCATCACTCCCTTCCCATTCAATCTATCCTGGTGGAAAATCTAGTGGATTTTCTCTCTCCCCACTGGAGCTTTGGGCTCTCAGTACTCACCATGGCCTTGCAGGGCTGCCGATGTCGCAGTGAGGGGTGTCCTGGAGGCAGTCGCTCACTCCCCCCGGCTCAAACAATAAATACACCCCCCTCTGGGTTAAAAATAGCCCCATGCCCAGTTTTGGCTGTAATAGGTGAGTTGGCCGCCCCCAACCCTGTTGTCTCTGCCTTTCTCTGGCCCTCCCCCTCTCTAATCTGGAATAGCAGCTTGTTGTTGTCACCGGCTGACGTGACATGTGAGCCCTGGAGGGTTTCAAGGTTAACCAAGTGCCAGGCGGCCCCCGGCTCCCACCCTGGGGATGCTGACCCTGGACTGCACGGGAGCAGCCCCACCTGCCTTTGTCACTCGGGCTGGGGCTGGGCTTGTCCCCTCTGTTGGGACATGCAGGGAGGGCCTGGCCCCAGGGGACTCCCGGCTACAATCCTGCAAGCGTTGTGGAGTTTTCCCTCAGTCCTGCCAGGCATCTTTTGGATGCTTGGTGCCCCATTGCAGCATTGGCATGGCAAAGCTGGGCTCTGCTCAGCTGC